AAACAAAACTGCCATCAAGGATGCACTACGACGTACGTGAACGTGAGGGGCAGTGCCCAGGACTGAAAACCCAGCTTGTCAGGTGCAAGAGGAAAGGTCTTCCAGAAGCACCCTGGGGACAGAGGCCGGTGTGAGACAACGGCCCCATCCTCTCTTCTCCTCCACCGATGGCGCTCAGGCGATGGATGCGGCACCATATTTGGTGAGGTTAGCTTGGACCAAGTTATCTTCCAGGAATAAATGCAATCTGTAACACCGAATGAACTTCTCGGAAGGCCATGAAATCACCAAGTGGTTCATGAGCTGTGCTCACACTTCTCCTTCTCCATCCCTGTGCTGTGACGGTTCCCGGTGACTGCAGGAACTGCTCTCCAAGAGCAGGCCCCCCTCGGAGGGACAGCCACGAAGTCAGCTCCAATGACACAATCCTGACCTCTTCCAAGGAATATGTCTACATCATGAACTTGCCGTTCCCAGAACGCCTCCCTTCACACCATCATCTCCACACCACAAGTGTGAGACGGCCCGCAGACACATAAACATTCACATACACTTGATAAATGCCAGCAAAGTGTTCTCAGCTTAGAAGCTCAAGACTGAGGCTACTTAAACTCTTACCACAAGTGCAAAACAGGAAGGTCCCAGGGGACAGTGTGCTTCTGAGCTGCAGCCCACAGACCTTCAAACTGAAAGGCCACCCGGCAGAAAGCCTGGGGGTCAGGGCCAGTGTTGTGGCACAGCAGGTAAGTTCTTGCTTGTGATGCTGGCATCCCCTATCAGGGCGCTGGTTTGAGTCCTGGATACTCGGATTCCAATCCAGCTTCCTACTAGCACACCTAGGGAAGCAGCAGATGATGGCCCCAGGACCTGGTCCCATGCCACCCACATGGGAGACCTGGATGGAGTTCCTGGCTCCTGCATTCAGGCAAAGCCAGCCATGGCTATTGTGGGCAATTCAAGAATAAAGCAGATGGAAGACTGATCTCTCTCCCTTCTTCCCTCCCTCCCTCTGCTTTTCAAATAATAAACCTTGAAAAGAAAAAAAAAAAACCCTGGGGTTGGTACTGCCTTAGAACCATGGAATCAACTTAACCCTTAGAAATCCTAACACCAACTCCACCCCACCAAGGAATTTGGGGATGTGGGAACTAGAAACCAGAAGACACAGTGCACCGATATCTACCTTGAGTGGAAACTGCAGTATACAATGCAACAGTGCACAGCACTGAAAACAAGACCAGAACACTGACACACAGAACTGCAGCGACGCACATGGACAGGTTACACTGAGAGGTCAAAGGACAGAGCACAGGCTGGAGGGCTCCAGCTGTGTACACAGTCCTAAGAAATGCAAACCCATCTATGGTGATGGGGCAGGAAGCAGGAAGCAGGGGTATCACTAGGGGCAGGCAGAGGCTGCTGTGGGCAACAGAGAACTTGCTTGTCTTGACTGTGGTGTTGGTATCACAGACGTGCACGTACGTCAGAACTTATCAAACTGTACACTTCTAAAAGGTGGACTTTATTATATGCAATTACACATCAATAAAGCTATTAAAATACATACACAAAACAACCACATCCACCGCCCTGCAACAGTGCACAGTGGCACGCAAAGATCTCGTCTCAGCAGGACTGACTCGCGGAGAGCAGGTCTGTCTTGATCCAGGGGCAGAGAAGTCAAGGCTAAAAGCCCAAGGACCCCTGCTGTAAAAATGTCACCACTGCCTAAGTGAAGGCTTCAGTCAATCTGAGTCCACAACCGTCACTCTGGGATCAGTGGCTTCTCTTGTCCCCCACTGCCATGACTCAGCCGCAGCATCACACACACAATGGTCCACAATGGTTACTCGAGGCACTGAAGGTGCAGCTCACAGGAGGGCGGAGGTCAGCCAGCTGCCCTCTGGGAACCTAACTCAGGGTGGTTACAACTTCCAAATCTTTCCCCCAAAAAGTCAGAACTAATTTTTCAAGTATAAAATCTCATAAGGTTTAAGTGTAAAACACAATGTAGGTTAAACAATAAAAAACAAGAGTGCACGAGAATTAGCCTCTGGGTTGCTAACTTGCAACAGCAAACTTGAGGCTATGAACACAGGTTCTGATCCAAGAGCAGTTCCTTTGCCACCAGGTCTGTGATGGTAAACAAAGTGTCATCCTCTCCAGGATCCCATATCCTCAACAGGAACTTTGTCAGTGATGGGTCTGCACCTGAGAACTGCAGTAAAGGAGACATGTCTTATGTGTAGGAAACCCTTAGAAAACATTATCAGGGCCAGCACTGTGGCGTTATCAGGGAAAGCTGCCCTCTACAATGCTGGCATCCCATATGGTCACTGGTTCATTTCCCAGGCTGCTCCACTTCTGATCCAGCTCTCTGCTAAGGCACTGGGAAGAGCAACAGAAGATGGCCCAAGTGCTTGGGCCTCTGCTACCCAAGAGGGAGATGCAGAAGCTCTGGTTACAGCCTGGCCCAGCCCTGGCTGTTGCATCCATCTAGGGAGTAAACCAGTGGTTAGAAGAGTATGTGTTCTCTCTCTCCCTAACTATGACTTGCAAATACATAAATAAATCTTTAAAAAACGATTACCATTATCATTCTCCAAATGGGAGTATTTCGATAGATTTTCTTCCAAAAATAGGTAATTGCCAGAAAAAGAGATAAATAAAACACAAAAAACCTACTGGCAATGATCCCGTGTACCAAGTCTACTCCTGGAAAATGACTGTGGCTGCAGACACCACACTGCTAAAAGAACAACGAGGGACAGGCTGGAATCCGGAAGCACAGGGGCCCGAGGTGTGACAACGTTCCCAGGCCAAAGTGGGAACTCACCTACTACTCACCTGCATTAGGTGCAACACAAAGGCAACACAGGTACTCACGAGGCTTGCACAAACAGCTCCACCTGTATTTTTCACCTCCCTGTTCATACCTGTTCATCCAGCCAGGGAAGCAAGCGGGGAGAAGACCCGGCAGCCCAGGAGGGAGGTGAAGGCCACACATTCTAGCTGGGAGGACTCACTGAAGTCCAGCTCTGGTGCAATCCAGAGCCACGAGAGCCACGCGGACTGTGGAGAGGGGCTGAAAGGCCACGCTTGTTGTTACCAGGTAAGGCACAGACCAAAGATAAACAAGCTGGTGGAAGTGGGCAGAGAAGCACACAGCAGGCGCCCTCACAGGTGGGGCTGGCAGCCCAGCTCTGAGCCTGAACCTTCCAATGCTGCCCATGCACAGGCCTCTGCGATGTCTGCAAGAACCAAGTGCAGAGGTGAACGTAAGTGAACTTTAGCCATCAGCCAGCCAGGGTCAGCCACACCAGGAAGTGTGGGCAGGAAGAACAGCAGCCACATGGAGTCCACAGGTGAAAATTAACCTCGTGACCTCTGGCAGACCAGCTCACTGGCCATTTCCCTAACACAGCGGGCTCAACAATGTTGATCTGTGATGCCTGCAACAGCGCCCCTGCAGCGGCTGCACAGTGTAACTAAAGCACCCTCTAGCCTCCATGAGGCCAGCCACGAGTCGCCTCTGCAACACCAGGAGCCCCCGTGACTGCCTTCCCCATCCCCTCCCTGGGCACCAGCACCCCTGCGGCCTCGTGCATTGCCTCATGTCCTTCCTGCACTCAGAGCTCCCCAGAGGCTTCAGGGATGTCTGCATCACAGACAAATCCTGAGCCCCGAAGAACCCTGTTTGCTGCTCTCCCCTGGACACACGAACGGACAAGTAGCTCCACTCAGAACCCATGACCTGAAGCAGAACTTGCCTGCTGGTGGACTTCAGGCCACGCCCAGTGCACAGACGTGTTCCCCCTGCTCGAAGCTTTATATCGACTGGGGCGTTCACTACCACTAGACCCCCGATTCCATATTCAAGTCCACCTCCCCAGCTCTGCAGTCAAACAAACCCAGAGCAAGGCTTGGCAGCACAGGGCTCGTTTCTGCAGAGCAGCAAGTGCCCGGAGGTGCGGAAGAGGCCCCCGGGACAGGCTGGACAGCTACTTCCTCACTGCTTCCCCTTAAGCTGCACTGCTGTCCACTGCCCACACAGTCCTGACTCCCGTCCTGGGCATGTCAGAACCCACGCCCTGCTGCAGACGCACCAACACAGCGGGATGCCGGCCTCTAGAAGCCCGCACAGCTTTACTGACCAGAAAGACAATGTGAAACCAATGTTTCCACGGGACTAACAACCACACTGCTGCCCGTCCCTGGAGTGACTTCTGTCTCACCCTGTGTGTTCTACCACAGGGGAGCGCCTGGGCTCTAGCCTGCCACGCTATAAAAAGAAAGGTGGTGGTGAGGAGCTGCTCTGATCCCAAGAGCGATTTTAGGGAGGGGAGAGGTCTCCATAAACCAAAATGTAAAGAACTCTGGCAAAGAGGCCACTCACTGAACCCACACAGACCCAGGCTAGCACAGTGACACCTTGCACCTGTTGTAATAACCACTCGAAAACCCATCTGTGGACCCCTACTCCGCGTCCCCACCATGCCACCTACAGACAAGGCATCAGCACGGGTAAACACCAGGGACAAGTGCAGGAGACCAGTGCACACTCAGCCAAAAATCCAGAGATTTGTCCCCATAGATGAGGGCATGAAGGGCAAATGTGGACATTACTAAAATCTAACACCTTAAAAACAAGAAAGGTGGCCGGTGCCACGGCTCAATAGGCTAATCCTCTGCCTAGCGGCGCCAGCACACCGGGTTCTAGTCCCGGTCAGGGCGCCGGATTCTGTCCTGGCTGCCCCTCTTCCAGGCCAGCTCTCTGCTGTGGCCAGGGAGTGCAGTGGAGGATGGCCCAAGTGCTTGGGCCCTGCACCCCATGGGAGACCAGGAGAAGCACCTGGCTCCTAGCTTCGGATCAGCGCAGTGCGCCGGCCGCATCGCGCCAGCTGTGGCGGCCATTGAAGGGTGAACCAACGGCAAAGGAAGACCTTTCTCTCTGTCTCTCTCTGTCCACTCTGCCTGTAAAAAAAAAAAAAAAAAAAAAAAAAAAAAACAAGAAAGGAAAACGTATGGGAAGAGCTCATTAGTTTGTATGTCAATTTGGCTTTCCCTATGAAGGCAGATCTGTTACAAGAAACTCTACGGGACTTCCCCCAACTTGTGCTCAAAGCAGTTTACCGTGCTGAAACAGACAGCAACTGAAGTGTTAAGCTTTGTAACACTCAGAGATCCTTCTAGAACATCTGTCTGAATTCAGACTCGGCCCAATTCTTTGAATGCTGCTGGTGCCCACAAGGAAGCCTCACAACTCAAAGCGTCTGGATTTTACTCCATCAGTCGTGGGGGACACGCGGGTCACACGCAGTCAGATTCGGAAGGGAAACAGCCATCTGCCATGCCCCTCTGTGAGACGAGGGCCACAGACCTGACCTCAGGCTGCTGCCCAGCCCTGCACCCGAGCGCTCCCACTGCTCCTCAAGTGCGGAACTCGTCCGGCTTCTTCCTTCCGCGCTCAGGGCCGCGGGACCCCTTCATCCCCTCCCCAGAAGCAGCCCTCAACCCAACCTTCTCAGTCACAGACACTCTGTTCACCGCCACCTCCTCCTCTCACAGACCACCGAAGTCCATGTCCCTGCTCCTCCTGCACGAAGTGACGACATCAGCTGGGACGGACACACACCCAAGTATGCAAGACCAGGCTAACCACATGGCAGCCACCTTTACAACTCCTCCCGATGATCTTGTGCCGGGAGTCCCAGACAGAACTGAGGCTTAGAGACCGGCCCAAGTTATACACCAGTCTAACACGAGCACTGGGGAAGGGCTTTCATGTCCCAATAAAGAACCACATCCTAGCTACAGCTGGACATCCCCCGCCTCACCCAGCCTCCCACATGTGCCAAGGATCCTGCCATCGGCACTTGCCCACAGCCCTTCCACCTACACCTGCTGCCTTCTCCCACGACTCTGCCCGCTACACCCTCCGGGAACACTGGCACCTACACCTGCTGCCTGCTCCCACAACTCTGCCCTCTACACCCTCCGGGAACACTGGCACCTACACCTGCTGCCTTCTCCCACGACTCTGCCCTCTACACCATCCAGGAACACTGGCACCTACACCTGCTGCATGCTCCCACGACTCTGTCCTCTACACCCTCCAGGAACACTGGCACCTACACCTGCTGCCTTCTCCCACAACTCTGCCCTCTACACCCTCCGGGAACACTGGCACCTACACCTGCTGCCTTCTCCCACGACTCCGCCCTCTACACCCTCCGGGAACACTGGCACCTACACCTGCTGCCTTCTCCCACGACTCTGCCCTCTACACCATCCGGGAACACTGGCACCTACACCTGCTGCCTTCTCCCACGACTCTGCCCTCTACACCCTCCGGGAACACTGGCACCTACACCTGCTGCACTCTCCCACGACTCTGCCCTCTACACCCTCCGGGAACACTAGCACCTACACCTGCTGCATGCTCCCACGACTCTGCCCTCTACACCCTCCGGGAACACTGGCACCTACACCTGCTGCCTTCTCCCACGACTCTGCCCTCTACACCCTCCGGGAACACTGGCACCTACACCTGCTGCCTTCTCCCACGACTCTGCCCTCTACACCCTCCGGGAACACTGGCACCTACACCTGCTGCATTCTCCCACGAACTCTGCCCTCTACACCCTCCGGGAACACTGGCACCTACACCTGCTGCATGCTCCCACGACTCTGCCCTCTACACCCTCCGGGAACACTGGCACCTACACCTGCTGCCTTCTCCCACGACTCTGCCCTCTACACCCTCCGGGAACACTGGCACCTACACCTGCTGCATGCTCCCACGACTCCGCCCTCTACACCCTCCGGGAACACTGGCACCTACACCTGCTGCCTTCTCCCACGACTCTGCCCTCTACACCCTCCGGGAACACTAGCACCTACACCTGCTGCACTCTCCCACGACTCTGCCCTCTACACCCTCCGGGAACACTGGCACCTACACCTGCTGCACTCTCCCACGACTCTGCCCTCTACACCCTCCGGGAACACTGGCACCTACACCTGCTGCCTTCTCCCACGACTCTGCCCTCTACACCCTCCGGGAACACTGGCACCTACACCTGCTGCCTTCTCCCACGACTCTGCCCTCTACACCCTCCGGGAACACTGGCACCTACACCTGCTGCATGCTCCCACGACTCTGCCCTCTACACCCTCCGGGAACACTGGCACCTACACCTGCTGCATGCTCCCACGACTCTGCCCTCTACACCCTCCGGGAACACTGGCACCTACACCTGCTGCCTTCTCCCACGACTCTGCCCTCTACACCCTCCGGGAACACTGGCACCTACACCTGCTGCATGCTCCCACGACTCCGCCCTCTACACCCTCCGGGAACACTGGCACCTACACCTGCTGCCTTCTCCCACGACTCTGCCCTCTACACCCTCCGGGAACACTAGCACCTACACCTGCTGCACTCTCCCACGACTCTGCCCTCTACACCCTCCGGGAACACTGGCACCTACACCTGCTGCACTCTCCCACGACTCTGCCCTCTACACCCTCCGGGAACACTGGCACCTACACCTGCTGCACTCTCCCACAACTCTGCCCTCTACACCCTCCGGGAACACTGGCACCTACACCTGCTGCACTCTCCCACGACTCTGCCCGCTACACCCTCCGGGAACACTGGCACCTACACCTGCTGCCTTCTCCCACGACTCTGCCCGCTACACCGTCCAGGAACACTGGCACCTACACCTGCTGCATTCTCCCACGACTCTGCCCTCTACACCCTCTGGGAACACTAGCACCTACATCTGGAATTTCAGGTTGAGCTTCTGTGGCAAAGACTGCTGCTCTTCACTTAGTCCCTACTACGCCTTCCTTCCTTATTCAAGACCACTCTATCAAGGGAGATGGTAACAGGCCCAGACTGAACACACACACACACACACACACACACACACAGAGATACTTCCCAGCCCGACACACTGAGATGGCCAAGGAGAGGAGCTTCTGGCCACACAGTGGACAGGTGCAACCTTTCACCCCTCTCTCCCTCCTGCTTCCTGGAATGTGAACAGGAAAGTTCCTGGGATCTGCACTTCCAGACCAGGCTCTCAGAAATACAACTTCTGGGTTGAAGCAACCCACAGCAGCACCCCCAGCTCTCACCTCGCTCCTCAACCCCGGAGTAGAACAAAAGCACCTGGTGCAGGTGTCCAGTCTGCTTCATACCCTAGCAGATCCTCCAGGCATCTCCAAGACCAACACGTGCCTCATGGCTGTGGCCACACAAGCCACTGTGAAGTCCGTCTCTGTCCCTGTTCACAGCCCAGTCTACCCCTTCTCCTAACCCTGCATCTTGACTGACTGCACCTCCGTCTTCTGTTCAGTAGGGAAAGACTGCCACATTACCTTCGATTCCTTTCTACTCGCATCCACAGAAGTCAATGAACAAAATGAATGGAGCCCACACTTTCCACTCAAAGCCGCAGGCCCAGGTCCCACCACCTACACATCTCCTCCCATAGTCTCCTGAACGCCAGTCTCCCGATTTTCAGAATCTCTTGTGCCCGTGTGCTTCCTTACACAGAAACCTGCACAGGGTCCCCCTGCCCAGAATGAAGGCCAGAGTGCCTTGCAACAGCAATCACCTGAGGGTCTCCATGCACACCCGGCTTCACCTCCCCCTCTCCTGTGTGTTCTGAACAGATCTTAGGCAGCTTTCCTTCAGCATCCATGCGGCATCAGGTCCAGGATGCCCTGCAGACACCAAAATCCACAGACGCTCAAGCCCTTACATAAAATGGCATGGTTGGGACCAGTGTTTGGCACAGTGGGTTGAATTGCCACCTGTGAAACAAGCATCCCGATCAGAGAACAGGATCGAGTCCCAGCTGTTCCACTTCTGATCCAACTCCCTGCTAATATGCCTGGGAGGGCAGCAGAAAATGATTGGGCCATTGCCACCAAAGTGGGAGGCCCAGATGCAGTTCCTGGCTCCAGACTTCTGCCTGGCCATTGTAGCTATCTGGTGAGTGAACCAACAGATGGAAGACTGATCAACAATCTCTGTTTTTCAAATAAATAAATAAATCTTTAAAATTGGCATGGTATTGGGGGTAGTGCTAGGACGTAGTGGGTTAAGCTTCTGCCTACAGTGCTGGCATCTCATACGGGTGCCAGTTCAAGTCCGGCTACACCACTTACACTCCAGCTCCCTGCTAATGCACCCAGGAAAGCAGTGGAGGATGGCCCAAGTCATTGGGCCCCTGTACCCACGTGGGAGACCTGAAAGAAGCTCCAGGGTCCTGGCTCCGGATTCTGAGCCCCAGCTGTTGCAGCCATTTGCGGAATGAACCAGCAGACAGAAGACCTCTCTGCCTCTGCCTCTGCCTCTCTGTAACTCTGCCTTTCATATAGAGAAATCAATCTTTTTTAAAAAATGGCATATTAAGATAGTTCCTACACACTTCCTCCTATATGGTTTAATATTTGTAACACCTAACACAGAAGTACAATTCAAATAACTGTATTATTTAGGGAAAAACAGGGTAAAACCACAGAAGACAAACTCCTCCACCTGCATTCCGCAAGCAGTTAGGTACAGAAGCCATGGTCGTCCGGTCTGACTGTACTTCCTTTAGCACCGAGGCCCCCACACAGGACACAAGTCTGCCTGGCGTTTACATAAAATTCTAATGGACAAGCTGCCCCTCCTCTTCCTGGTACTCAACACGCCCACAGGGAGCATGGCCATCTTATTCACACCTGTACCCTCCCAAGGAGCCAACGTCACACCTTCACACACAATTATCCAATTGACATTTCTGAATCAAATTCAAGGCTGCAAGAAAAAGAGTCATCTGTCCCTGGTCCCCTTGCTGCTGTAGACACTCCTTTGTCATAAACGAAACAGGCGCTGACTGCTTGCATTGTTGAGTCTCATATTCATTCTCTGAAAATGGAAAGCGTGGCCTCAATGACAGCATCAGGCAACAGGGCGAAAGCAACCCAGTCCACATGGCCAGTCTACACAGAGCAGTGACGCAGAGAAGGGAAATGAAACATCCAAATACACAAAACACGGGAACCCATCTCACAGGGGGAACTACAGGCATAGTATCAAGGGCTGACATTGTCAGACACTGCACCAAGTGCCAAAGCCACAACCAGGAGAGTGGAGATCTCCTTCAGCCCCGCACACACCAGAACAAGGTAACAGGAAGGGGACCCCACACCAAGTGCGGGGACCTCTGTCCTGGAGTGAGCCTCCCCTGAACCCCTGCACCCCAGCACACCGCACAGGCCGTTCCCCAGCGGTGATGACAGACAAGCTGGTGGTTCTTTTTCTAAATTTTATTTTATTTTTTTATTTGAGAGGGACAGACACAGCTCTCATCCGCTGGTTCAATCACCCAGTGCCCACAAGAACAAGCCATGGGCCAGGCCAAAGCCTGGAAGCAGGAACTGGGGATTCAACATGGGGCTCCCACTTGTGTGGTAGGGGTCCAAGCATCTGAGCCATCACCGGTTGCCACCCAAGGTGTGCAGAAGCTGCAGCTGGGACTACAGCCAGGCCTTGAACTCGGCACAGCATGGAAAGGTGGCGTACAAAACAGCATCCTCCTCACTGCACCAGACACCCAGCCCAGGTCACTCTCAGCCTGCCTTGCTGACAACAGCTCCGTCTTCCAAGCCCAGGTCACTCTCAGCCTGCCTTGCTGACAACAGCTCCGTCTTCCAAGCCGCCACTCACACTCCCTCATCAAGCCTGCCTTCTGCCCCTCAAAGCCCCTGTTCCAAGGGTATGGGCCTGTGACCCCTCCCCAGCTCGAGAAGGTGGGACGGCACTCCCTTGGCCACTGTGCTGAGACCTGGGGCTCCAGAGGAACTGGATTTCCATGACCGAGAGCTGGCACAGCTGAGAAGAGCACGCACACCCAGAGCTGCAGACCACGATGTGGTCTGACACTGAACACACAGCATCAACTTCTCCAAAGGAAAAAAACTGCAGGGCTGGGTGGCAACGGCTTGCCAGGCCCACCACAGAAGCAAAGCCCATGCAAAGTGAAGACCTGGGGACAGGAAAGGTGGGGCTGCTCAAGCCAAAAGCCAGGTTTTGCTTCTCCCCTGGAAAACCCAGCAAACCCCTGCTAAGTGTCAGAACTCGCAGGATAGAGGATGGCCAGGGACAAAGCAATCTTCCTGCCTCTGTGTGGCAAGGGCAACCCGGTGGAAAAAAGCCAGAAAGAGCGGAAGACAGCTACCCTCCCCCACCTCAAGCACTCATCAATGCCGACCCAGCCTCTGTCTCTGTGCCAGGCACTGGCCCAGGCACCAGGGACAATGTGGTGAGCAAGACACAAAGGGCCCCAGCCTTGAAGCTTCAATTCCACAGCAGGAGAGAGTCAACAAGCAAGCAGTGCCCAACATGGCACCAGGAGCAGGGGCTGGTATGACGACGACGGGGAAGGACGGAGACAGACAAAGGGATGAGGAGGGAAAGGAAGGAAGGTGGCCACCCCTGGGGGGCAGCACCTGTGCTGAGACATGAAACTCTGCAGAATGACGCAGAGAACTCTGGGCAGGAAGACAGGCATGCACAAAGGAACAGCAACACGGTCAGTGTGACCGGAGCCGAGCAAGGCAGGAGCCACAGGTAGGTCTACCTGCAGAGGAAGGCAGGGGCCAGGCCTCGGGCAACAGGACTTCTCAGTCCCAGCTGCACAGGGAGTTCTGATCTAACGACTGTGAGGATCCCAGACCCTGGGTTCTACTTTATGTTGATTTTTTAATTCCTCCAGGCGTGATCTTACTGCAGGGCAGTCCAGCCCTACACACAGTGGAGTGGGTTACAGGCCACCAGGGCTGGACGCCAGGGCACTGGCTGGAAAAGGAGCCCCCACAGCCATGCCAGCCCAGTGCCTCTCCTGCCAGCTGCTGTGGCTCTCCCGTCATGCGGGTTATGATTCCATGGGGCCCACAGACAGGCTGATGTGGGCATTTCTGGAAAGCTGAGTCGATGCCAATGGTGCCAGCTCGACGGATCACCTTCAAGGACAAAGGCACAGACCCGTGTTGTGACCAGAATGCACTGAGTGCTTTCTGTGAAATAAAGAATGCTCCCAGAACTCCATGCCAGCAGAAAGGTTTGGTGCTGCATTGGGAAGGTGTTGCTCGTCTGTACATGAGTATGTCACCAGGTGGCAGCGTGAAATACAGTTCCTGGACACTGTCAAGGAAGCTTAAGAAACCTGAGTCTGGCTGAGAGATGACAAGAGCTCGGAGCATGGGGGAGAAGCACGCAGGTGGGGGCCGTGACGGAAGACAGTGCAAACATGCATTCAAGGGCCACGACGCGATGTGTGCAGAATGGAGCGGGTCAGACCCTGCAAGGTGTGAGACACAAGCAGTCTCCAGTCTCGAGGAGGAGACCTGGCACAGAGCAGGGGTGCGGCAGGGAGACGGTCCAGGTTCACGGCAGACACCTGTAAGGTGTCTACGTGGAGGTGTTGCTGAGAGAGTGGGATGCACAGGCTGAGTGCGTGGGACACAGGTGGGGCAGGAGAGGCAAGTGTGTTACTCATGAGCACACTCACCTTCCAGGACTGGAGGGAATCACCCAGGGAGTGCAGGAGGCCAAGGACAAGATGAGGGCCAGGACTAGACCCACACAAAACAGTGACAACGAGGACCTGGAAGGTGTGGACAGCCGATGTGCCTGAGCGCCAGCGGACAAGAGCCAGCAAGCCTCACAAGCCTCACACGCACAGGGCTCACCACGTTGAATACAGGTTTCAAAACCCACCGCCAGTGCCAACACCCTGAGGAACAGCTCTGTTTTATATGGGTAGGAGAACACGCAGGGCAAATGCTGGGCAGTTACCGAGCAACGTGGTGAGAACACGCAAGTCCACGGTCGGAAAAGGAGAAGGGAGTCTCCACCTGTGCCGGGCACCTCGCTGGTTCACGGCAACACCAGACACCCCTCTCTTGCACAGGATACCTTCCTGATATGCAACCAGGCCTTCTCATAACTGGGTGGGGATGACCAAGGGGCACTCAAGTACAAGTGTCAGGACCAAACATCTTGGTGGGCCTAGGGAACTCACGTGGCTGACCTCACACCAGGGGAGCTGACACAGCCTCTGTAGAGCACACCCAAGCAGCTGGAATGCCCTCCAGCTGAGTGCCCCAACATGGCTCCCATTCTGGCTTCCATCAGGCACTGCACACAGCTTGCGGGGGGGGGGGGGGGTGCTGCAAATTTGTGCAGCACAGCAGTCTTCAAGTCAACTCCAGGCAGCGCTAATTAACAAGGCCTGCCCGCCTCTCCAACCAGTCCTTCCACTAACAGATGGCTGTACTTTCAATCCTTGCTGCTCCTTCCTGTCACTTAACCCTGGAGGCAAGTGGGTTGTCAGGAGCCACCCTGGGACACAACCTATAGAACGGACTGAAAGAGCAGGATGTGTGCTCCAGGCCCTAGCTACTCAAAAGGAAGACCAAGAGCCAGTAGCATGGGGGCACCAGGAGTGTGGGCCCCACAGCAAATCAGGGGGCACACAGACCACTCCGGAAGCTGCATTTTAACAAGATTCCCATGCAGCTCCCCCGTGCAGTGCAGTCTGGGGAGCAATGTCCTCAGCCAAGTAAGCAGCATCACGATCTCCAGGGAAATGGAAGAAGCACTCAGACCCAAGTCTTACCCCACCAGCCCCCAGTCCCAGGGCTGTAATTTACGGGAGTCTTCCAGGGGGTTCCAGGCCAGCCAGGCTCAGGGACAAAAGCCGCAATGGAGCCCAGGTCTGAGACCAACATGAGAGGTGGGCAACGGAGGGGCAGAGACAAGCACTGGAAGGGAGCGGAACAAGCATGTGGCAATGCAGGGGAGCAACAGGGACCTCACAGAGCCACCAGCAGTCAGCCGACAGCTGATATGATCTGGGCAGTGCCAACGACACACGCTCCAGATGTCAGCTGAGTCCCAGGAGCACAGCCACATGCGGCCTAAGAGTGACCACACCAGGAAGAGGAGGCAGAGGCAGGAGGGAAAGACAGCACGGGTTCTAGAGCCAGGCTGCCAGGTCGACGCGTGTGCTGACCAGCGCTGCTTTGGACGCCTGTTTCCCCAAGAGTTAAACAAGGACACGGCCAGCAGCAGCCTCGTGCTGTCGGCATGCGGGTAACACTCTGGACAACGGCATCGTGAAACGTGTGTTAGCGGGCACAGTCATCGTCACTCTGTGTGACAGAGACCAGGACCAGGACCTGTGAGGTGTGCCAGGAGACCGCTTCTGCAGAGCAGCAGCGGGGCCCGTCCTGCGAGGACAGGTTCTGCCTGGGTCTCCAGGCTGGCCCAGATTTAGGCAGACATGAAAGCACACCCACAGCAGGTTGCTGTCAAGCATCTCCATCTACTCGTGGCTTTCTCAAAAGGAAACAAATCTCCAAACCACACAGGGATGCTCTGAGGGTCCAGACGCCTAACCCACTGGCCAGGCAGGGGGCAGCACACAGCTCTTTTTTTTTTTTTTTTTAACAGAGTGGACAGTGAGAGAGAGAGACAGAAAGGTCTTCCTTTGCCGTTGGTTCACCCTCCAAAGGCCACCGCACCGCAGCCGGCGCACTGCGCTGATCTGAAGCCAGGAGCCAGGTGCTTCTCCTGGTCTCCCATGGGGTGCAGGGCCCAAGCACTTGGGCCATCCTCCACTGCACTCCCGGGCCACAGCAGAGAGCTGGACTGGAAGAGGGGCAACCGGGACAGAATCCGGCGCCCCAACCGGGACTAGAACCCGGTGTGCCGGCGCCACTAGGCGGAGGATTAGCCTAGTGAGCCGCGGCTCCGGCCAAGCACACAGCTCTTTCTCAGGGAGTTACCCCCAAGGCTCTCCTACAGGTCTGGGAAGGTGAGAAAGGCACTGGCCAGGCAGACGCCAGAGGCTGGCCCCCGTCATTCTTCTCTTCTCCACCCTGGGAACTGCTGGGTGTCACCCATGGGCCTCCTCACTGGCCTCCTGCGATGCCCTACGATGACGCAGCACCCAGGGGCTAACACACACCGCAGGAAGGGCGCTGGGGGTGGGAGGAGAACAGGAAGACTCCCAGTGACAGGCAGGGCAGGAGGAGAGGAGGCAGCAGACAGAAAAGGCTCCACCAACAAGTTCTCAAAAATCAAAGTGAGTTCAGGAGCTTCTCCCAGTCTCCCACTGAGCGGCAGCCTCCGCACTCCTCCCAGAGGGAAGAACATTCCTTCGCCCCCTCCCTGCAACAAGCCCTTAATAAGCTCAACTTCCTTCTACTTAGAAAAAAAGAAAGTCAGGGCTGCTCCCGGGCAGACGGCAGGTCTGCTTACATCAACCTCAGGCCTGCCCCCCCGCATCCCCAGCTCCTAGCACAAAGGACACAGCTATCGAAGCACCGAGGGTCTACAGACTTCCTTTTTAGGCTAAAACGCAAAACAACTATCAGCTCCAAGAAAACAGCCACATTTTCCCTTCTCTCTCAAACTTGAGCTCTTTTTTTTTTTTTTTAAACAAAGCTAGATCTCAGAGAAAGATGTGTTGTCAGATTCTGCTTTGTTAGGGAGGGGAAGCCAAGAATATGGCTTCATCTACCACGCACATACAAAGAACATGACAAGAACACATGTTCCTATCAAGAACACTGCAGGAGGGGCTCAGGGCTAATCAACTGTGAGCTTTAT